AAAAGATCATGGTCTTAAATATCTTATTCTTTGTAGAGTAGATTTTAGACCAAATTATTTGGAGTATCAAATAATTCAAAAACTTCATATTTCATAACCACAGAGAAATCTTTTTCGATCAGTTATCCAACACTTAGCAAATTGCAATTCACTTCAGGTACATAAAGTACATTTTCGATCATGGCTTTTGCTTCATTTCTCTTTTGAATAACTATGTTTCTCGCTCCTTCTTCTTGCAATGAGCTAATGTTTGCAAGCCTAACATTGATCTTCTTTAACTCATTGAAAACTGCTAACAAAACTCTTCAACCAATTATATGGTTTGAGCAGCCTGTGTTGAGGAACCAGATCTTTGAGTCGACATCCTCATCTAAAACTGCAATCATAAGCATCATGGTTTGAGAATCATCTTAATCATCACAGTCAAAGTTTTCTCCTTCGACATTCTTCTCTTTTAAAGAACCTTTGTTGCCTTTCTTATACCAGCAATTCTTGGCCAAATGACCCCACTTTTCACAGTTGTAAGAACCCATTTCCTCTCAACTATCCTTAACTCATGTGCTTCCAACGAACCAACAAAATCTTCCAATTTCAAGGTTTCAAGATTGTTGAATTCACGAATGGCCATGATAACATGATTAAAGTGAGAGGTCAAGGTTTTCATTAACTTATTTACTATCATCTTATCACTTAGAACTTCACCACAACCTTTCATGAGATGGAAACAATTTTGCACCTTCGAGACATAGCTTGCAATCTTTTCATCTTCTCCCATATGCAGTAACTCATGTTGCCTTTGCAATACGTGTAACTTGACATCTTTAACCTTCTCATCACCTACATAATACTTGACAAGAATATCCACTGCCTCATTTGTAGATTCAGCATGAGAGATTTGATTAAAACTCGCAACATCCACTGCAGATTGAATACAAAACACAACCTTGCAATCTTTCTTCTTAGCATGCTTGTGGTTGATCCTCTGAGCATCATTTGCATTGTGAGTAAGTTCAAAGACGCAATTAGTGATCACTTCAAGGGTTTCTTGAAAACCAAACAAGGCTTTCATTTGCTTACTCTACTAGTTCCAATTTTTGCCGTCAAGAATTCGAAGAGAATTAGAAATATCATTGCCACCATTCATCTTTACAACAAATACGATTCACGATCCCTAGAAACACGACCACCAATGTGAAAATCTTGAATCAAGATCAAGAGGAACTAACTGAAACTCTAGATAGCAATTTGTTTGTGATAAAACATTTAGGTGAGGAAAGAATGAGAGTGTCAGATAGAATGTGGAGAATGAAAATTAAATTGTATTATATAACCTAATAATACAAGTAATTACTTGTATCCTAAGTAATTAACATAACAAACTAAACTTGAATTATATCACAATAGAATATATGATCTAACCTAATTAAGTTGACCATATTTAGCAATATAGATAACAAACTCATACGATGAAATCATAATCCTCTAATATTAATCATATAAAGATCCGTAAATCGAATCATAATCCCAACAATTGAATAGTTATCATGAAACTTAATCTTCCTTACATTCCATTTGTAAATGGCTTCTGACAATTAATGAAAAATATATTGTCAAATTCAATTATATCTCAAACTCCATTAACTTAAACATTAAAATCCTAACATCTACGATGTCATCTATTAAATTCAATCAACTATAATCTTAATTTTCTAGTACAATTTAAATCTATGTATATCATTTCACTAGGAACAAGTTCCTATTTTCTAAATTTCTAAAAACAAACCAATGAATCTATTATACCAAAAGAAAAACATATACTATTTAAGATATAGACAAGAAGTATATAATGCATCCTATCATCATTTAGAAAAAACTTTATCATGACTCCATTATCTCCTGTGGTCCTCTCCATGTGAGCAAGTCCATCACCACCACCAATGAGAAACCAACACGTGTCAATGATTACTGCCAAATAAACCTATCAACAAAACATAGCTTGGGGAAGGTTACATCTATTGGTGGAACATAACAGCTACAAATGATTGTCTTTTCGAAACATGTAGCAAGATGATTGGATAGGGAAGAACGTATGATACTTTCGTTTGTCTTTGGTTAATCAACTAATATTAGCATTAATTTGAATTGAATTGAATTGTGTTTGTTTGTGAAAGATTATTTTCATATTTATGCATAGATTCATTGTCCCAACCCAACATCCACCAAACACACGCCTAATTGTTGTTATCATCACATTAAACACACGCCTAATAATGTTAGTATTGCCTAAACAAAAATGCTACCAAATTATTTTAGTCCAATAATAATGTATACTTCCTCTAAATAAAATATAATATATTAAAATATTAAAAGTTAATTTATATGGTCTTAATTTAAAATTACATATATTAATTTTTAACTGTTTTTTATTTATATTTTATTTTAGAGGAAGAATCATTCCTATAAAAATGAAAAACTCTATAGAATAATATTTGATTTTAATAAATAGATCATAATATTTATTTAATATTATCTTCCTTTTATAATAAATGATTCAGTTGACTATTTCACTTAAATTATAAATAAATAAATAATAAAAGAGAGAGAATTATATTTTTATTAAAATAACTTTATTAATAATGAAAGTAATATTAATTAAAAGGTGAAATTAAAAAATATATATCAAAAATTAAAATGAATTATTTATTTTAATTATTTTTTTATTTTAAATAATAAATGGGACGGAAAGAGTAATACTTAGATGAGATGATACGAGATTTTTTTAATTAAAGATTCTAAATTTATACTCAATCCTAAATAAATACGCGATAATATTAAACTTTTTGACGATTTTGATTATCAATCTATTTTCATATCATTTGTATTTGATAATTTTAACTTTCTAACCTCTTTTATAGAGAGTCGAAAAACTCATTTAAATAACGCAATTAATTATCTGTCTTGCTTTCTGAATAATCCTTAAAATTATTCCTGAACATTATATCTTAGAGTTTGTAATCATAATTGTTTCTATAAAAATTACTAAAATAGAGTAATATGAAAAATATTTATTTTTTAAAACTAAATACAAGTATAAAATAGAGTAATATAAAATACTTCTAAATTATATATACTCTAGATTTTAAATAACCTTTTCTATTTAGATGAACAAATTTCAAACAAATCACACTTAAAAATGATTTTATAAGATAAAAATAATCAATAATATCCAACTATTGAAAAATTAATAAAACTAAAAATTTTTTTTGATCATATTTCCTTTTTTATACACAATACTTTTGATTATTATATTATTACAATAACATAATAATTAAAGGACACTATATTATGTGAATCATGTAGAATATTCTTTCGCATCAAATCAACAGCAACTTGTTTGTTCAACAGAAAAAAAAAACAGCAACTTGTTTGTCTTGTCTGTCAAGTTCTGTATTATAGCCTCTAATTCATTCTTCTCCCTCTTCGTTCTTCACCCTAAATCACACAACGCAAAGATCTTCAAAACAAGCGCAAATCTTTTGAGAGGTAAATTTATATAATAATTGTCGATTTTCTTCCATGCTGCATTTGGGTTTTCGTTCTTCTTTTCTTTGTTGTGAGATTTTGAAATTTGTTTTTGATTTTGCGTTTAAAGTTTCGTTCTTTTGGTTTTTCTTTTCATGGGTGTTTGAATTGGGTTAGATTTGTATCCGAGGTTTGGGTTTTGAGGATACTGCTTGAGGAATGAGGAATTGAAATTGTTAGTTGAAAATTGTTTTTGTCGTTTTGATGAAATGTGTGTTGGGAGATTTTTACAATTTATGTTTGATTATAGTTGTTGTTTATGAGTTTCATGTTGTTTGAATTGTGGGTTGAAAATTGAGTTATAAATGGGAGATGTATATGACGTTGTAAGCCGGTTTTGTAGAATTGAGTTATGCTTGACCTAAATTTTAAGATGATATCAGAGTCTATTGAGATTCGCTAGGTCACCTGTTATTAGCCAGATGTCTAGTTGTGGGCGTGAGGAGATGTTTTAAGAGTCTCGCATCTGATAGCATAACTTGAACATGAGTTTATAGAGGCGCATCTATGAGATCTATGAGCTTACGAGCCGATTTTGTAAAGTTGAGTTAGACACGACTCAGATTTGATTTAGTGCAAAAAGTCATCATTTCCTCATTTTGGATTTGAAACTCTCGTGCTTCTCTTCTTTTGTAACATGAGAAAAGAAGACACAATAATAAGGCTTAAACATCATGTTTAGTCTTAAGTATAACAGTTCTGTAATTTTGATTGCTCACTTTCAGTGTTATCAAATATCTGCCGTGGCAACGCTATGGTGGATATACATGGCGGTTTTTGGATTCGCCGCAATGGTAAATATCGGCTGATATTGCAGGTTTTTCCACCATAATCTGCAATAACAGTGTTGCAAAACGGCTCGGATGGCAGGATTTTTTAGATTATTTATAATCCATAATCTATCCTTTTTTTTAACCTTAATTTTCTTTGGCATCTTATACTGGTTTTGTTTGTGCATACAAATTTTATGCAACTTATTTAGTCTGATTTGATTCTTCTGTTACTTATCAGATTTTCTTATTTCTTTCAGGTGTGTTTTTCATTATATGTTCCGATATTCGAAAATTTGAAAGGTTAACCAGGTGTTGCTATTTTCTTGATTACTCTACAAGTTTTCTACAAAGTCCATATTCTTGGGTGTCATAACAAAATTCAGGGAATGCTGAAAGATGTGCTTGCTAGTTAAAAACACTTTTCCCGAGGCCAACGAGGCTGTACCTCCGTCTGAGGTACTCTTAATCATCCTTGACGAGATTGGATGTTTATTCCAATGTTCATATCTTTATCGTGCTCAAGTGATTGAGGTGACTACAATTCTCCGCCATTGTAAGATTTCAAAACTTGACGTTGATGAAGATGGTTGAGCTTTGAGTTTCTTGATATTAGCATTGGATTGTACAAAAAAAGTGTTGCTAGAAATGGAACGAAATGGAAGTGTGCTTATGCAACGATATGAACTCGGGAAGTTGTTAGGCCAGGGAACTTTTGCAAAGGTCTACCATGCAAGGAACCTCAAAAACGGCATGAATGTTGCCATCAAAGTTATTGATAAAGAAAGGGTTTTGAGGGTTGGGATGATCGATCAAATTAAGTGCGAAATTTCAGTGATGAGACTTGTCAAGCATCCACATGTTGTTGAGCTTTACGAGGTAATGGCGAGCAAAACCAAAATTTACTTTGTCATGGAGTATGTCAAAGGCGGCGAACTCTTCGACAAGATATCCAAAGGAAAGCTCAATCATGATGATGCTAGGAGATATTTTCAGCAATTGATCAGTGCCGTTGATTATTGTCATAGTCGAGGTGTGTGTCATCGCGATTTAAAACCAGAAAATCTTCTGTTGGATGAAAATGGAAATTTGAAGGTCTCAGATTTCGGGTTAAGCGCGCTTGCCGACACTAAGCACCAAGATGGATTACTCCATACTACATGTGGCACCCCTGCGTATGTCGCCCCGGAAGTGTTAAACCGAAAAGGATACGATGGGACTAAAGCTGATATATGGTCATGTGGTGTGATCTTGTATGTTATGTTGGCTGGTTTTCTTCCGTTTAGAGATCCAAATTTGATTGAGATGTATAAGAAAATCGGTAAGGCGGATGTCAAATATCCTAACTGGTTTTCTTCGGATGTACGCAGATTGTTGTCAAAAATATTGGATCCAAATACAAAGTCGAGGATATCTTTGGCCAAAATTATGGAAAGTTCTTGGTTCAAAAAGGGGCTAAAGAAGCATATCGTTACCGACACAGACAACAAAGAACTAGCTCCTCTCGACATAGACGAAGTATTTAAAGCTTCTGAGAATGACAATAATGTTGATCTTCCAAAACCTTGCAATAACTTAAACGCTTTCGATATCATCTCCTTTTCGTCAGGTTTTGACTTATCCGGTTTGTTTGACGAGAAAGAACGGAAGACAGAAATGCGGTTTACGTCTAACAAGCCTGTTTCGGTTATCATCTCCAAGTTTGAAGAAATTTGCAAGAGTCTCGGGCTAAAATTGAAGAAAAAAGACGGAGGTTTGCTCAAGTTAGAAGGTTCGAAGGAAGGAAGGAAAGGACGTTTAGGTATCAATGCAGAGATTTTCGAGATCACACCGGTCTTCCATTTAGTCGAGCTGAAAAAGTCGAACGGAGACACGTTGGAGTACCAAAAGCTTTTGAAAGAGAATGTTAGGCCTTCACTTAAAGACATTGTTTGGACATGGCAAGGAGAACAACCTGAAGGACATTGTTTGGACATGGCAAGGAGAACAACCTGAAGGACATTGTTTGGACATGGCAAGGAGAACAACCACACTAATTGCAGATAGAGCCTTCTGATTCTAGCTTGTCAGAGATTGTTTTACACCCAATTATGCTTTTTGCTTCTTCATTATGTTCTTAGTAGTGAACACTGTATTCTGCAATTGTCATGTGATAATTGTGGTTAAGGATGTGTGTTTGCTTGCTCAGATTGTGTAACTATTTGGCCATTTGGGTTTTCTGTGCTCTCTTTATTGACATTGTTGGAAATGGCATTTTCATTTTGTAGCTTAAATGGTGGCATGATGAAATTGCTTATAATGTTTGTCCTTAAATTGAGGTGTCTATTCCTATGTTTTCTTTCATTTCGTTTGTTTTAGTTCAGTTGAATTACACACTTTTGGACGGGAAAAACATGTTTTTGGTTTGGATGTTTCCACCTCTATACACACCAAAATACTTCCTAAGTAAGCAATCTCCATTTTGCAAAAAAATAATACAGAAGTTAACCTCTGCATTGTTGGAAGTGGGTCCGTAGGTTAAGTTTCAAACTAATCTTTGAATACATTTTGAACACATGATAATGTAGTTATGTTCTAATTATAAGTGGATAAAACAAAAGTTTAGTTTCATTTTAACCCTCTTAGGCTGTATTTTTATTATAAATTTGACATATTTTTAATAAATTTTATATAATTTAATCAACCAAACATTGATCACAAAATAAAATCAAAATACCATATATAATTAAATAAAACCATAAATTTATGTAATCCAATCAAAATATCATATATTAAGTCAAAATATAAATCATACATTGTTCACAAAATATAAACCAAAGTACATGATTAAGATACAAGGAAAAAAAATCAACTATTGGGTATATCTGACACCTTCATCACACACGTGCCTAGTAACATGTTCTACATATATACAAAGTAGTGAGGTGTCTAAGAGGCCTCTTGAAAAAACATCAAGAACAACAACAGGTTAGACTTCAGGGATATTATAGGAAACACCATGGGACTCGTGTCTTCGGGAGGACGATTTCGGAGACACACAAACTCTAAAGGTCGGTGTTTCAACATCAAATAAAGTGGCACTAACGGTTAGACGAGAGAGTCTAGATCTTTCCTTTCGAACGGAAGCATGTTGGGTCACTCTACTAGGCTTCAATTAATCTATGTTGCATACATTATACATGTAATTACACCAAAGATATAATATCATAATCAGAAATGTCAAACTTAGGGGACAAAACAGGAAAAAAAAATAACGCCGAACAATAAAATTTGAAAGTTAACTTTTGCAATACAGAACAAAAAAACTTGGAAGGTAACTTCCATATCCTCCTAAAATCAAAAAAATGCAAAAACAGAGCATGCTCAAATGCTCTAACTTCAAACTTCGAAAAGTTTAAATGCATGCCTCACTAAATAACCTATTATGAATCATAATGTACCATAAATAACCTATTATGTGTCATAATGTACCATAAACAACTTATTATGCATTTAACTTCAAACTATTGCATCACAAAACAAAAAAGCAAGAAAATGAAAAACTTACTGCATATGAGAAGTCGATAGTTTTTTATTGAATGAAGTGGAGTAAATGTTGGTTGATGTCCTATCCTTGAATGTAATACAATAGAAGTAGCGAGAAAGCTTGAAAAATGATGAAAATGGAGTTTGCTTATGAGTTCTATTTTGCGTTCTGAGCAAACTTTCTGAAATGAAATGAAGAAGAAGGAGAGGAAAGGTGTGACACATCATTTGTATTAAATGTGTATGAAACTTAATATCCATATATATATATATATACGGAGTTTAACCTCCAAATATTTTCACCTATGTTTCATCCTACTGAGACTTGACTTTGGTTACATTTTGAATAGGTCATGAGGTTAAGTTCCTAATTTTATGGGCATTAAGTGTTTTTCACTAGGTGTGTGAGCACCACTATGGGTGTATAGAGTAATTACTTAAGCGTTTTATTGCCAAAAATTCTTAGTTTATAACCTACATGTTCAAAGGTCTATTGATTTTACAATTTAAACATGTTTTAAAAGATAATTTTTTAAAGTTTCTTTCTAGCAGGTAGGAGTATATCATTCATCATACTTTTAAAATTTATTAATTGGGTTAAATACATAACACCCACTGTAAAGTTAGCGAGATTCACTTTTTCCCCCTATAAAATATTTATTTTAATCCCCCATCGTAATACCCATATTGCATCATTTAGGCCCCCGATTGCCACATTTCACTAAAGATTCTATCGACTTGTCAGCGTAGAACCTATTCATTTGACACCATGGCATTAAATTTAATTTTGTTTTAATATTTAACATGTTAATATTTATTTATTCCCTGTAAAAGTTAGGATTACCATTCCCAAAAGTTACCAGATTCAGTTCAGGTGAAGGAGGATGACGACAGCGATTGCAGATGGAGTAGAAGTTGACGACTTCGCTTGCAGATGAAGAGGAAGGAGATGACATTGAAGCTACAATGTATGAGGTAAGTGATTTTGAGCCTTCTTGAGAATTGTAACCGTAATTTGTAACGACATTGAACCGTATATGATTTCGGTTTGCTTGCATACGAAATAGAACTTTAATGCTATCTCAACCTTTATTCACATGATATGCAATATTTTAATGTTAGTTTTCACCATGGGGGTGAATTTATTATGGTCAAGAAAAACGAGATTATCTACAGAGGGGATGTTGATACAAATGTATCTGGGCAACACATTGAGAACTAAATAATGAAACGATTCACAAGTTGGTGAATAGGTGGGGGTATACGGAAAGAATTTATAGGTTGTGGACTAAAGTATTGGAAATTGATGATGGTTTCTTTTAAATAATAGAGAATGATGATGCATACGACTTTGCAGCTTATGCTTGTGAAAATCAAGTTGTTGGAGATATATTTATGGAACATGATGTTGAGAACATAGAACTTAGGGTAAGAGTTCCTAAGTGTGTTAATGGGGTAAAAGATATGTAAGGATTAGAATATTAGGTGGTTGAAATGTTAGATGATAATGAGGATAAAAGAGCTATTACTCTTGTAGATGGATTTCATGGTGTTGATGTAACTCTACCTATAAATGTAGAGGAGAGAGTTGTTGGACTCTTAGGTAGGCCCAAAAAGAAAATTGAAGAAGATGATTATTATAGTGATGAATTGGACCATTCAGATCCAAATGAATATGGTGATGAAAGGCCCAAGTTTGAGAGGTTTAGGAAAGAGAAACTTAATAAGGATGACAAGTTTAAGTGGGGCATGAAATTTAATTATCTAGTTGATTTTAGAGAGGAAATTCGTGACTGGTTTGTGTTAAATGGTATGGAAATTACATTTGTGAAAAATGAGAGTTATATGGTAAGAGTAGAATGCAAGGATAAATGTGTTTTTTTAGTGTTATGCTAAAAAGTAGGCCATAAGCACACATATGCTATAAAAACATTGGTGGATACCTATACATGTGCAAGGGTGTTGAATAACAGGTTTGCAAGCTCGAAGTGGGTGGCCAAAGTTGTAGTCAAGAGAATGCAAACATCTGAAACAGTTAGAGTTTGGGTAGTGTGCAAGATGAAATGCATGTCATGCTATGAAGATGATGCAAATGTTATAATAATGGTATTGATTCGAATATTCAGGGTCAAAATTGGGGTATGAAAGATGACAGCGCAAATTGCAAAGAAAATGATTGAAGGTGATGCTGATAAACAATATGCAGATCTATGGAGGTATGTGTTGCGGTGAGAATCGTGATACCAAGCTATTGATTAACTTGAATCTTTAATTCTTAGATTACAACCGGTCTTTAATTTATCCAAAGGATAGGTCTAAAGAAAGAAAGAACCTTTTGCGCGATGTGACAACAACGCTTTAAGAGATTCGGGGATTCGGGGGTTGGTTATATCTAGGGAAGGTATTTCACATCCTAAACATCTGTAGTACTCTACAGGAACCTTTTGTTTAATTACTTGCTAAGTTTGTGAATTGTGCACTATGGTTTAAGGATTGGGAATTGAGATAAAATAAATAAAAAGGCCTGAGTGGTTTTCTAAGTTTGCTCGCAAAGGCATCGCACCTTCTGCCTACGTATCCTGACTAGGATAGAATCAGAGCAATCGTAGTTCACCTATCTAGGGATAAAGAACTCTTGACTGTGGTCAAGGTTCCAGAGGGATGTAAGTATTCATAAGAAAGTACTTACATGGAGTGCGGCGACTCCTATTCTAAATTGAGATTGTTGTGATAAAGGGTGTCCGCAACGGGACGGTAAAAGCGAGCACGACGACTCGAATCCTAAGGCTAGGATAAAGAGAAGGATGTCCACGGAGGGACACTAAAAGTGAGCACGGAGACTCAAATCCTAAGGTTAGGAATAAAGGGTAAAGGGTGTCCACGGCGGAACGGTAAAAGGTGAAAATTGACCAAGGGTATTTTCAGGCAGATTTTAAAGGTAACTTCCACTGGTCGAAGTTCAGTGCAAAAGTTGCCAAAAAGTATTTTCAGGCAGATTTTAAAGATAACTTCCACTGGTGGAAGTTCAGTGCAAAAGTTGCCAAAAAGTATTTTCAGGCAGATTTTAAAGGTAACTTCCACTTTTGGAAGTTCAGTGCAAAAGTTGCCAAAAAGTATTTTCAGGCAGATTTTAAAGATAACTTCCACTGGTGGAAGTTCAGTGTAAAAACTGCCAAAAACAACATTTGAACCAAAAGACTACACACAGGCTGGACACATCTACCAGCTTGTCTAACCAAGTTCAAAACAGGAATGCAACATGTGAAAAGGTAAAAAACAATTTGGCAGCCAACATGAATCAATACAGAAGTTGATCATCAAGGATCCAAACATGCTTTGACAGCAATCACAAATATAACTTAGGGAAGAAAACATCCCTAACAGAAAGTAAACCATTGCAGGCACCAATCTCACTTATATATGTATTCAAACATGCTCATGATGGCATTCCTCACTTGAGCCACAGCCTG